ACTACACACATTCGGCTACCGTTTGACGTTTTATTAATTATGACCACTTTGCACTACTGCTGGCACAGGAAAGTCGGCAAATTAGTTGAAGTGGTGGTGGTGGTGGTGGCTGGGCAAACATCTCCAAACAACTTTTTTTCAGACATGAAGAGAGTTTGCAGCTAACTGAGATAAAAAGAAGCCGTCTAGACAGGAGGAACCAGAGGAAAGACGTCAGCAGAAGACTTCTCAGAAAGAGCACTGTGAAGTGCAGCAAGAGGACACATTAGCATTTAGGAAAAAGCTGCTGCTGCTGATGTTCTTCTTGTTCTTCTTCTTTTCTGTTTGGCCACTCTCTCTCTCTTTGTCCTCAGCACGCACAAGAAGAAGGTGGCAAAAGAAGGTGGCTGAGTTGGAGTTATCACTGCAAGGCTGAGCTGAAGACAGACAGCGCCGTCACACCATTGACATGTCAATCGAAGACAGACAACTACTACTGGTCAATCCAAAAGGGAAAGAGTGGTACAAAGTATTTGCTCGCCTTTATTCAAGAGATTAATTAGTGGCAGTGCTGGAAATTGTATTTGAAATGCAGCGATGATGGTTAGGCAACAACAGGAGCAGGAGAAAGAGCAGGACAAGACAAAAAGAAGAACAAATGCAGTTCGAAAGACACTGTGGGACACTTGCAGAGCAGCACTACTGAAAAGGGAGATAAGGAAAGAATGGATGAATGAAAGGAAAAGAAAAGCTTGCCCCCAGGTTTTTAGCAGCAGCAGCTTGATGGTGATGATGATGATAAGAAGCAAAAGCAAGCAGACAAAAAAAGTAGGCTTTGTCATGCTCTGTCAACGAAGAGACACACAATCGGCTGAAAAAAGTAGGAGTACAGTTAAAAGTTACCGTGAAGTTGCTGCCTCAGCTGCACCTTCGACCACTAATCAGCAATCAGCAAAGGAGTGAATGTAAATGCGGGTAGTGGGTGGACTGCAGTGAAAAGGAGATGTCGAAAAGAGTTAAATTTTTTTTTGACAAGAGTGAAAAGCACACAGCAGCCAGTCAATCACCGCCTTCTTTCTTCAAAGTTCGAACACCAATGAGCTCACCAATGTTCATCACCTCTTTCTTCTTCTTCAACTTCAATTTCTTCAGTTTCTTCAGCTTCTTCCGATGTTCCAGGTCTGATGATGATGAGATGACAAGCGCGAGATCAGCGGCAGATGAAAGACAATACCTGGCACTCTCTGGCACCTCAAATCGCTGTCAGAAGGTGCTTTCAAAAACCAAATAAATAAATCGACAGCCGCAGCAGAACAAATTTCAGAGCACACACACACTGCCAAGCACGGGCGCCCTGATCGCCACCTGATTTTTTGTCTCTTATGGAAAAAAAGATGAGAAAGGAGCTGAACTGAGGACGCGTGCACTTGCCCCCATCACTTTGCCTGTTCAACAGCTCAGTTCAGTGTTCAGACTGACCGATTGCTATTGCTGATGATAGTGACGAGAAAGAGAGGTGTCAAAGTTTGAAAGAGCAATGAGCAATTGAACGGTGGAGTTTACATGATTTTACAAGGGGGAAAACGCATTTTTATAAGTTTTTTTGCAAAAGGAAAAAGAGAAAGTGTGTGTGTGGTGTGGCGTTTGAAAACATTTACAAGTGGGGTGATGACAAATGTTACAATAGAGAGGATTACAACGGCAGAAAGGAAAGAAAAGAAAAGAAGAAAGAAAAAGAACAGTAGTACACAGATTTACAACAACGACAAATGCAACGACACAGCACACAAATGACGACACATAAACACTTCCATTCAACGTAATAAACACGAAAAGGCGAGGGGAGACCAAGAAGAAGAAGAAGAAGAAGAAGAAAAGAAGGGACATGAACATCAAAGAAAGGGACACGCAAGGAAGAAGAGGGGATGATCAGGATAATGAGGAGAGAGAGAGAGAGAGAGCGGATCGATCGATTAGCAGTGCTGGTGGTGGTGGTGATGGATATTCAATTGAATTGGATTGAAGAGAGAGAGGATGTTGAGAAGATTTTTCCAAGACAGGAAACAACATCATCACCATCAACAGCATCACCACCGCCATTTGCACCATCCTAATCGGCACCATTCTAAGAAGACCTCTTCGAACAAGGCTGTCGGGATCATGAAGATGATGATCTACGTGATGGTAATTCTTCCTCCTCCATCTCTCTCTCTCTCTCTCTCTTTGATGACTAGACACACGAACGAACAGACGAACGAATGAACGAGACACACTCGACAATCACAAAAGAGGTTATACACACAAAAGAAAAAGGGAAAGGGGGAAAAGGCAAATAGAACACATGCAAACTGAAAAGAAGAAGAAGAAAAAGAAGACAAATCAAAACGATTTTCAGAGTTTGTAAAGAGTGAAGAGGAGGAGAAGAGATTCAAAGTTGTATTGCTGATTCTAGATGGATGGACCGGATTGGATTGAGGGGGGATGAAGTAGGGCAAAGGAAAGGGGAAAGGAAAAAAGACAGAAAAAGAAAAAAGATAATAGGAGATTATTACACTTTTCAACTGAAGAAGAAGATGATGATGTAAAATCAAAATTCAAACAAAAATTAAACAAACAAGCTCAGGAGAAAGTGGTTTACATGTTTCAGGTACAGTACTAGCACACACAGTAACGGGTGTGTAACAGCAATTCGCGCGCAAGTGTAATAAGTAGTTCAACTAGTAATAGTCTGTTCGGCGGCAATTGTCTCCTTTCCTCTCACTTTAGTCCTGTCATGTCATGTCATGTCAAAAGAAAAAAAATGCGCAAAGATGCCCCAGACATATTACCGGTGACAAACTGCGGACTCTGACTACGCTCTAAACAACTGCAAACTGAGGTTGGTCTTTAAGTCATCACCATCGCACGGATTGCGCGCGGATTGATGATGATGATGATGTAGCAGCAGCAGCACGCAAAAGAGCAATGTCAAAAAGAAAAAAACGAGGGAACGATATCGTCTGAGTGATAGCAGAGATCCACAGAAGATCAGCAGAGTAAATTGCTGCCACCGCTGCTGTGTAAATTGAATTTAAAACTGCTGTGTTGACTGAGTTTGATCTCGGCAGATGATGATGAGTGCCGCTGCTGCTGCTGTTGCTGTCGCTGTTCCAATTGGCCAATTTGACGCCGGTGACCGAAGAGGCAAAAAAAAATGGCAAAAAGATGTGTCCGACCTGTCTGTCTGTTCATTGTCTGCCAGAAGAGAGAGAGAGAGAGAGAGAGAGAGAGAGAGAGAGAGAGAGAGCAGACACCGAGCGATTGAGTAGTCAGACTCAGTCAGACTTTGTGTCTGATTCGGTTGCTCGATCTGTCTGTTGTTTGTCTAACTCAGCTCAACTGATTGACGACAAACAGTCGGAGAGGCAGCAGCAGCAGCAGCAGCAGCTGCTGCGCCCTTCTTTGTTGAGACGACTTGTTTAATGAAGTGAGTTGTTGATGTTGCTGCTGCTGCTGCTACTTCTGCTGAAACTCACAACAGAAGACGGGAGGCAATTAATCGATTAGACGTTTGTCAGATTGAGTCTCAATTGGATCAGCTGATCGATGAGCTGCTGCTGCTGCTGCTGCTGATCGAGTTTTCAATTTTCATTTGCATTTTAAACTGCACCAACACACCACTGCTGCTCAGCTCAGTCTTTGATCATCATTCGGTGGCCACCTGTTTGTTTACTGCATCTTTTGCCCCGTTTTTTTCTGCTGCTGCTGCTGCTTATCAATTAGCGGTGTACACTGCTGCTGCTGCTGCCGCTGCCAAGTAAGCAATACTACTACTTCAAAGGAGAATTAATGAGGTGATGACTGAAGTCTCGGCATTGAAGGAAAAAAGAGAAATCAGAAAGATGACAAGTGACAGCTACAGCAGCAAAGAGTTGAGAGTCAAGTTTTGTACTTTCTCGCGGGCGACTTTCAATTGAGTCTTAAATCAGTCAGTCTGCATTGGAAGGTGAAGTGAACCAAACAGACAGACAAACAGACAGACAGACATGAGGACAAAAAGTGCAAATGCACTCTTTTTTGGACAAAACCGCCAAAAATCGTCGAAAGTGAAGTAAAGTAAAAAGCAGCTCACCTGAGCACTGAAGACGAGATTCCGGCAGAAGTACAAACGATGTTTTTTCCTTTGTTGTGGTGACAAAATGTGACAAAGTTGAGCCTTCTTCAAAAGAGGGCTCCCATTCGCTTCAGCGCCAGTATCGCATTGACGGCTTTCTGTAATGTTAAAAGGGGAAAAGAAAGATAAAATGTAAACAAAAAATAAAATATTGACCATTGTACAACGAAACAAGAAATGGCCCGCCTACCTGCCAGCGTCTTCGAATGACAAACTTCTTCAGTTTCTTCTTGTCCAGCGACTTGTCGACCTCGTCGGGCTTTTTGGCACGTTTCTGTGAGTAAAATGAGAGATAAGAAGAAGAAAAAGGAGAACAGGATTAATTAGCATTTTTTTAATTAGCAGAAAAGGCGTCTTTTGCGACTGAAACTAAAGCTGTTGAAGATGGATGCAACTGCTGTTACCTTAAGCCAAGGATGCTTCAGCGCCTTTGTCGCCGTCAGACGATCGCTGCTTGAAACGACGATAATGAAGGAAAAAGAAAAGGAGAGGAAAGGAGTTAAAGAATGAAAGAAGAAAAAGAGGGAAAGGACTGCACATTGGCAAACAAACAAACAAACAAACAAAAAAGTGTCGCATTCTTACGCCTTATTCTTGACCAGTAGCTTGGAGATGAAGTTCTTCGCGTCCTTGGAAATGATATCAAAGCTCTCGTCGTTGAAGTCGTACACCGCCTTCGTCACATTCGCCATCGTCTCCAGGTCGGACTCGCCCATGAAGGGCGACAGGCCGGAAAGGCTGTTTAGGGAGGGGTCAAATGAACCAAAATAAAAAACAAAATAAAAAAATCAAGCGATCCAATCACTCACAGAACGTAGGTAATCACACCGACGGCCCACCTGAAAACAAATAGACAAAAAATGTTGTTAAGTTTTGCAAAAAAGGCTAAACTCTCTTACATGTCGGTGGTGAAGCCAATCTCCTCAAAGTTGACCACCTCGGGGGCGGCAAACTCCGGCGTGCCGAACATCACCTGCAGTTTCTCCTTGGCGTTGACGCGCCGGGCAAAGCCAAAGTCGATCAGCTTGACGCGATTGCCCGCTCGGGTGACGCAGAGGACGTTCTCCGGCTAAAAAAACAAAAAAATTAACTTTTTAAAACTTTTTTTTAAAACTCTTCCTACCTTCATATCAAGGTGGACAATGGACTGCGAGTGAATGTACTCGAGGCCCTCGCAGATCTGCCGCACAAAAATGGAGCAGGCCTTCTCCGTGAGGATAAAGTCGTCGTCGAGGACGCGCTCAAAGAGCTCGCCGCCGTCGATGCTGCAAAAAGACCAAGAAGGGGAAAAAGCGGTCAAAAACTCAATTCCTAATTATTCCTATCAATAACTCCCACTTACCACTCCATAATGAGGCACATCTTCCGGCCGTCATCAAAAGCGTCGTAGAGCTGAAGGAGGCGCGGGTGCTGCAGCGAGCACATAATGTCCACCTCGCGCTCCACGTCTTTCCGGTCCTGGGCGCTGGAGGTTTCGATGAACTTCGCCGCCAGGCTCTTGTTTGAGGTCTTCTCCGTACAGCGGCGGACGACGCCGAATTTGCCGCTTTGAAAAAAGGAGGATTAAGACAAAACAAACAAGCGATTAGAAAAACTGTTGTTTAGGAGAAAAAATAACAACAGGAAAGAATTGTGGTAGCTGCTGCTGTTAACGGTAATTTAGCAGCAGCAGCAGAAAGTGATGATGATCGTGTTTTTGGGCGCATCTGTGTTGTATGGCATAAACAATTAAGGAGGTTTCTCGAGGTGCCAAAAAGAAGTGTGCTGAAAATCCCCTTCTTTTCCTCCTCTTGTTCCCTCTGATGAAAACGGGCAACAAAATCCGCTTCTTCCGCAGAATCCCTTTTTCTCCGCTAAAAATACCCGTTACTGTGTGTGCTTGTGTGTGTTTAGCCACCGCCACTTGGGCGCCGATTGATCGGCACTAATCGACACAAAAAGCTGGAGAAGCTGAAGAAGAAGAAGCTCTGAATTTTGCGTCAGCAAAAGCAACAAAAGAAAGTTTAAACGCTCAGTACTACTACTACTCGTAGCATTTGTTTTGTGTGTTGTGCGTTTAGCAAAAAGAAGAAGAAGAAATCGACTACTCGACGCGATTTGGCGCTTTACGACCAAACAAAGTTGTTTTACATTTGCTGCTGCTGCTGCTGCTGATCATTTGTCCGTTTGGCGTGAAAAAGAAACAGCCAAACTGCTGCTCATCGGCTAAATCAAACTGCAGAAACGGTGCAGAAAGGAAAGAAGCTGAAAGTGAAAGTGCTCACTCTGTCTGCCAATCAATCGCTTCCCAAGCTGCTGCTGCTCATCTCAATACAAAGCTCAACACGCAGTCAGTCAGTTTGTGCGTTAATGTCAATATTTTTTGGCCAACAAAAAAAAGTTGGGAAGAAAGAAAAGAAGAAGAAGACAAAGTCAAATCAAGTCGGAAGTGCTAAGCTGATTTTCTCCCCTTTCAACAGAAAGCTTAGAGAGATGACAGACAGACAGACAGATAGAGGAGACAGGGTAACTCGAAAATAGCTGATAGCCAACTGATTTTGAAGTGAAAAGGGAAAGAGATGCTAATGTTAACAACTTTTTTTCTTCTACATCGCTCAGCTGTTTCAGTCGTTTCGAGTGCACCTAACTGTCGGCATGAGTTCTCAATTTCCACCAAACCGTTGGCTAACCTAGGCATCTATATCAATTTTTTCATAAGCGTTTCATGCATATTAAAAAATGTTTGAGCAGAGCACGCAGACAATAAATTAAATTGAGGGCAAACTCAGCTGCTCCTGCCAAGCCAATTAAGCCAATCTCAGCTTTCTAGTAGTTGTCATCTCAGTAAAAAGGAGAGAAAGTCTCGTCGCTGTCGCAGATTAATGTAAATGTCTCCAGTGTAGAAGTAGTTTATATCCTTTCCAGCTACTTCTGCTGCCTAATGAAGTGCGGGGCACCACTTTCGCTTGCTTCATTTAACAAGAGTGCAATGGCAATAACATAATAAGGAGATACTACTACTAATATTTGGTGATACGATATTTGATGATGATGGTGGTGGTGATCGTTTGATGCAATCATCATGTTTAGCGGCTGATGTATTGCAACTGCCGCCGCTGCTGCTGCTGCTAATTAGAGCGGCATCCTTGTTTTCGCTTTTTGTAGTGGTAGTAGAGCATTCTAATATAAGGTTTCTACTATCTAGGGTGACTAACAGTTTTGGTAGTTTTGGTGATAATAAAAAATTTAGAAACAAGTCTTTCTCAACTTACCGGCCGAGCTCTTGGCCCAGTTTGTACTCCGAACTGGGATCGGTTTTCTTGACCTTCACCTTTCGCGGCTGAAATGGCGGCTCCACGTCTGTGAGTGAATGAGGTGAAAAAGGGGGGAACAAAGGGAACTTTAGAATGCTGAACAACAACAACAAAAACAACAAAATAGAATATTTCAGCTTTTTGGACACTCACCGTCCTCAGGCTCGGTCTCGTCGACGTAGATCATCTTGAGATGCTGGTAACGGGGGTGATGCTAGTTGAGCAACGAAAGATGGTGAAGAGGAGATGGTAAGCGGTGCTGATAAAAGATGAGATAATGATAAAATGCGGATGAAAGTGAAAATCACAACAAACAGATAGAATCGATGATGAAGTAGAAATAGAAGCTGAAATATGAAAATGCGAAATCGGCACACTGGTAAAGAAATCGGCTGAGATCAATGTTGGTGTCAATGTGTCAATTGATTTTGAGCACTGAAATAGTTTTCAGTCAGGACAACCGAAAGAGAAAGCTGTCGAGAGTTGACAGCAGTAGAAAAGTGGTGATCGGGAAGAGCAGTACTTTCACCAGCCAGTCAGCACACTGGACACTTGTTGCCAATGGCTCAACTCGAATAGCTACGTTGCTAACGATGGTGGTGTATTTGCTGGTGGTGGGGAATTGGCTGTAGGACAGAAACAGCGAGAAAACAGGCGAGGAACAACCAAAACACAAAACACACGAGCTCACACAAACACTGCTGCTGCTGCTGCCGCTGATAATCGCTACTGATAGCGGATCGTAGGTAGGTAGAAAAGAGAGAGAGAGCAATTAGGCGAGGTAGACGNAGAGGAACAACCAAAACACAACACAACACGAGCTCACACAAACACTGCTGCTGCTGCTGCTGCTGCTGCTGATAATCGCTACTGATAGCGGATCGTAGGTTGAAAAGAGAGAGAGTGAGGCAATTAGGCAAGGTAGACGGACTTTTGGTTGGGGATGATGATGATGATGTACAGCAGCAACAGAGAACTGTGTGGCTGCACTGGCTTCAGCACTATGCACCAGCACGAGTCTGACTAATCGGCGGCCATTGGAGAAGAGCACACTGACTGACTGACTGACTGACTGGGTGACGGTCACAAGTGCACGAAAAAGGCACACTGCACAGAAGAAGAGGGAAAAGAGGAGAAAGAAGTGGTAATGATCGATGTCGATGCTGGGGTTGCTTAGAAAACGGCGGCGGCGGCGGAATTCAATCGCTGCAATCCGTCACCACGCAAAGCAGATGCGAAGTTTGTACGGTAGTGTGCAATTGGGCTTCAAAGTTGCTGTGCTGAAGAAGAAGAAGAGAAGGAAAAAATCGAACTTGCCAATCGCAAAATCACGCTAAGGTCACCGGGTCCAGTCACTGGCTGGTGTTTCTTCGAAGAAAGGAGGTGATTGCCAATCTTTGCTGCAAACTGCTGCACGGCTTTTTCCACGGTTTTCAATGATTGCTGAAAAAAAACAACACTCTGTTTTCGGTTTTGTGTGTACAGCAGCAGGAGGAGCTGAACTCTCTGCTGTGCGTGAGTGTTTGCGTGAGATACGCTTCGATTTCACACTCACCCGAAAGAAAGGAGAGAAAGAGAAAGAGGCACTCTTTCTTCGTCTTCGGATGGTGCACCAGAGAAGGAGAATCGAGAGCTGCTGGTGCTGCTGTGAAACTGTCGTCAAAAAGTGATTTCCCTCCTCCTCTTCTTTTCGCGGACACTCGAGTGTGAGTTAGTAGTGAGTAGGGAACAGTGGTAGTCGTCGTCGTCGTAGTGAAGGAATCATCCTCATCATCATCATCATTACCATCAACAACAACAACAACAACAGTAGCAGTGAAGGGAACTGCAGCAGCAACAGCAGCTGCCACCGCTTTCAGTCGTGCTCGACGCCGGGCGCAATCGACTTTTGCGCCTGCTTCTGGTGACATTCGAGCAGAGCCAGCGCCAGCACATCTCACACAGTAGTACTCAGTAGTACACACAGTCAAAGGATGCGGATTCAAGAAACGAAGGAGAAGAAGAAAACGAAGAAAACGGCGTGGAAAGCGAGGGAGTGAAAATATAAATAAATAGCAGCAACACCACTCCAGCATCACTCGGCATCACCAGTCGCATCGGCTGCTGCTGCTGCTGCTGCTAATGTTAGTGCCCCTAGTTCTTCTCCTTCTTCGCCTCCTCCTCCTCTCATCACCACTGGAGGACAAAACAATGGAAAACTGTGTGTGCTTGCGAGAATGAAAGTGAGAGTGAGAGTGTGCCACGGTCGACGGAGAGGATTCTCGGCGGAGGAGAGGATTCTGCTCCTTCTGTAGCTTCTAAGGACTTTGGGAGGGGATATCAGCAGAGCAGCAGCAGCAGCCGTTTTCCATCCGAGGATTCTCTCTCTCTTTCTTTTCGCTGCTGTTCAGCGTAGCAGTGGCAGACATTCTTCTTCTGCTTCTGCTCTGCTATTGCTGCTGCTGTTTCCGTTTGAAGTTAGCTCCTCGTCGTTGCTCGGATACGAGTGCTTGCGCTTGTGCTGGTGGTGGTGGTGGTGGAATGCTGCCAGTCTCTTTCCCTCTGTCTACACACACATCTTTGTTGGCTCGGCAACAGTTGAGCTTCTGCTGATGTTGATGCTGACGATGATGCAGCTGCTGCTGGTGCTGCTGTTGCTGCTGCTACTGTCTGGCAAACGTCTCCTGACTGATCTCTTTTTACGACCACAGCTGCAGCAGCAGCAGCAGAAGCTGCTGTGTACCCCCTCTTCATAATCTTTTTAAATGAATATTCTTTTCAAGAGAGAGAGAGAGAGAGAGAAAGAGAGGAATTCTTCTCTTCTACTCCGGGTCTGTTGCATATCAGCACATATATTCAGGGGAGAAATTCGATATCTAAGAGCTAATTTGAGCGCCGAGCTACACAGTTTCGATTAGCAGCAGCTCGTAAACAGGCGAGCACTTTTATTAGCCGAGCCGCCATTTAGCGTTTAGCATTACTGGGGTTGCATCCTAATTCTTTCCCCTACTTCTCTTCTTTTTCTGCCCTAAGTCAGTAGAGGATTTTTCTTTTTCTTCAGCACACTCATGTTATGTAATGCTTAATTTGGCAGTGAACTATTGCCGCCGCGGCCGCTATTACTGAGTATCGATCACTGAATGCCAACTGCAATGCTATTGGCTGTGTGTGTGTGTGTGTATTGAGAGGATTTCCTTTTCTTTGTACAGTTGCCGCCGCCGCCGCCATCGCTGATATTCGAACCTCAGCCGCTTCTCTCTGATTTGTTGCCTAAATAGGTGATCACCCATCGAACCGTTCGTTCCCTTCCCTTTCCTTCCCTTTTTCCCATCCATCATCGACATTAGCATCACCATCAGCAGCAGAACCAATTTGGCCACCAGAGAGAAGGAAAAGTGAAGAAATAGAGAATCGAGAAAGAGAATCAGTAGGCAATCACGCACCAATCTCCAATTACAGACAGCTGTGAAAATCAGTCAATCAGCGGCAATTAGGTAAGAAAAAAGAAGAAGAAGAAGAAGGAATGACGGTAAAAGACGTTTCCAAATTCAGCAGCAGCAGAAGCCAGACGGAGTGAGACTGAAGTGTGCACTCAAACTCCGCCAAAAACACAAAAAAAGTTTGCGCCAAGTTTGAGAACAAACAAAACCTAGGCTTGGCGAACATTTGGGTGCACTTTTTCTGAGATTTTTTTCACTCTTTGAAAAAAATGCAAACAGTTGTGCGACAGAACCGCTCGGCGAGAACCGGCGCTCTTCACATGGCACCGGCACCAGCAGCAGCACTAATTGCCGTGAATATTTCGCCTTCTCGCTTTCCTCAACTTCTATCTCTCTCGTTTTTTCTCCTCACAAATCGGCGAGAATTTGAGAGAATTTACTCTCTGAGTTCTGTGAATTCTGTGTTCAGATTCTGTTCGCGTGCAGTTGGCACAGCTGCAGCAACAGCAACGGCAGCAGCAGCAGCATTCACAGTGCAGCTGCATTGTTGTGTATTACTTCACTTATTTATTATATTTTCGCCCCAAAGGAAAGCTGCTGCTGTTGCTGCTGTTGCTGCAGGTCGGCGAGAATATTCTTCCTCTTCTTCCAACAGAAAAGCAGCAGAAGAGGCACTATTTCTAGCGCAAGGCGCCGGCAATTTAGCAGCAGCAGTGCCGTTCTCCAAATTGCCGGCGAAAACAGTGTGCATGTGTGTGCTGGTGATTTTCCTCAATGAACGGCATCAAAACGGAAAAGTGCAGAAAAAGAGAGAGAGGAGACCTCGGTGCCAACTGTACCGTGCCTGCACTCCACCAGCAGAAAAACAGTGTCAGAGAAAGGCCGAAAAAAACCGGTGAAAAAGAAGAGGAGCTCAAAGTTCAGCCTGGCAGCCTGGCAGGCAGGCAGCATTGCCACTGGCATTCTGGCGGGCAATCTGTCAAGACAGTAAAAAGCAGCAAATCCAAAGAAGACGCCGTAAAAAATGAGCTGTGCAGAAAACGAGCGAGAGAGAAAGAGGACGGGAACTGGCAAGGACAAGGCCAGATCGTAAGCTTTTGCTGGTGGTGGTGGTGGTGGTGGTGGTGGTGGTAAAAGCACCAATCGACTTGGCTCACACTCTTTCGAAGCACACTCTGTTCGATTCCTTGAAGACGCGCATCAAATCATGTGTGGTGCGAGCAGGCGTGTGACACTGACACCAATCAGCTCAGCAACATTGATGCGGCAGCACTACTCAAACGACAGGAATTCAGCAGCGCCGTAAAAAAGTGCACTGTAAGCAATGTACGACGGGGATGGTGATGGTAATGGTAATGGTAATCGTGATGATCATTCGGTGATGATGGTGATGGTGATGGGGATGGCTTAAGTCGGAAACGATCAGAAAATGAGCGTGTTTAGAGGAAGGAGGAAGAAATCTTGCCAGAAGTCGTACAGAGTGCAACCGGTGCCTTCTTTTCATCATCATCATCTTTTTTCCGGAGAATTCCCCTCTTCCTTTTCTTTCTTTTGGCGCAATCGACACATAAAACATTTGCTGATTTATGCTTGTGCAGGCAGAAGAAACTGAATTTCCTCTCCTGAATTTCCCTCTCTTCTCTTCTCCGGGCAACAAATTCTCGGCAAATTCAGATGAAAGGAATGAAAAAGAAGAGCATCACTCATCTCACCATTTAGGAAGGGCGAATCTTTCCTCTCCGTACGAATTTTAACTACCACTCAGGAA